CTCGCAGGCCGCCGGCGGGAGGAGGGCCGCCTCCCGGGCGCCTGGGGCACACAACATCTGCCGCCTCCTCACCCGCAGGGCCCACGGCTTTTATGCCAGAGATGCTGGTGTCACCCACAGAAAAAACCTGGGACTCCTCAGAAAGATAATATGTCAGGTAATAGCGATGCTTTCCGGCGGTGGCCGAGCCCCTGCGTGTACTGGCTTTCAGCGGGGGTGTTCGGAGCGGCAGGCCTCAACCCAGGTGTTTGAGAAGTCCCTGGTCACACTAACAAGTTTGGGGAGAAAAATCCTGCCATTTTGCTAAAGAGAGTTAGAAATGGTTACATTTATTTCATGAGGCTCTGACCTAGGGATGTAGAGAGGACTGTGGTGTGAAAAATGCAGAAACACTTCTAAATTTAATAATCCTGTTAGAAATAGCCAATTATGAGATTTTATATCACTTATTTCTTCCCCTAAGATGGCTTAATGTATAATACCAATCTTAAATTCATAGTGCTTTAGGGAGCATCGATGTTAAATTTGAATGGAGTTCTCAGAACAAAATAAGATAATTAGCAGAGGTCTTCAGGTAAACGTGACCCTAATGTGTCAGTGAAATTTATGTTACAGAAAAAATAGGAATTAAACCAATCACAGACTAAAGTGAAATCGATTTTTTTTATCAAAACGATTACTGCTCCCATGTAGTAGTTGATAGAAATACATTGAAAGTGAATTAGTGGAAATGAATTGGCAATTGTGTTATTGGATAAAATAAAAATACATTGCATAAAATATGTGGATAAAAAAATGCATTTATTGGAAGTCAGCTAAAGTGTCTGCTTATGCAGCTAGATCAATGGGCATGCAAAGTTTACTGAAATAAAAATTAGTACATCTGACTTACACAAATACTGGAATCTTTGTTAATGATACAGAGCTCCTGATGTCTCTGATGCATGCAAGAAACTTTATGTGAGCAGTTTACCCCATTAACATTTCAGGCACTTTTTGCAAATAACTGTAAACGCATTTTTCTACCTTTCACACAAAATGCCAACAGCAGAATGGTGTCAGATGTTCAGTAAATTCAATTCCATAGAAAAGAGTTACGTACATATTTACACTCTAGATAGTTTTGTCCTTGATTTTGAAAGTTGCCATTATAGTTGCCAGTTTTAATTTTAATGCAGGCAAGTTAATGACAAAATATTCATTATCCATGCTGTCCATAATAGCTAATAAAAAAATCTTTTAATTTGGTTTTAAAAAAAGACAGAATTTCCCTAAAAAAGGTCTTTTAATTTTATTTTTTTTAAAAAAATTCCTTTATGTATTCAACAGCAAAGATTCAATTAAAGTAAGTTATTATACTGCAGGAGCTAAATAAAATATTTTCCAAAAGCAAGGTTTGCTACTAAAGCCTTCACAGTTACAACCACTGTCTATTTCAGGAAAGTACTAAATTCAAGAATGTTTGGACAACTCATTCTGCATCTCCTATTGCGTATGAAAGAGGAAGAATTTACTTAGACAATTACCAGTGCTGTATTAGCAGGTAATAAATTTACAGTTAAAAGTTACCCTGGCTTACAGTTTTAACACTGTGATTCTGTTTCATACATGTAGCTTTGGTGAAAGAAAGTCTGATCTTACTGGTGCTGTATAACTTCAGCTTTCAGAATACTTTAATAGGAGTGGAAGATTATTACCATTTTATAATTTTGCACTAAAAAGCCAATGAACGGTAGTTCTTTGTGATCTGATAACTAGCAGTGTGCTAAAGAATGTGTCACAAAATTAGCCTATGTAACAAGCTTGGTACCTTGTATATAAATTCTGCATTAAAGAAGTAAATTATTGTTCACATAAAAGTACAGTGTGCAGAGTACTTGCTTTTGTTCATGTATTTTGCAGATCAGTTGTCTGATCTGATGTACTCTCCTGTTCCATGGTCAGCTGCAGAGGCACGGCTTAGGAGGCAGCACAGGGTAGGGTAGAGGACAGGAAGTCCTGCCTACACTGATCCTTGCCCTTGCCCTCGCCCATCTTTCTTGTGAGGGAAGTAGCAGGGACTTGGAGAACTGTGTTGCTGAGTAAGTTATGGTCAGAACAGTTTTGAGACAGTGTCATATGATACATAAAAGACAAATTACTCTGTCAGTGTAAACCACTGAGAGTTAATTAAATTACAGCAGAGATCTAAATCTGCTTAGCTGTGTTTTATTCCTACATTGTCTGAATGCTTTCCAGTACTGGGTTAACCTGTCTTGACATCTTTCAGGTTTATCTTTGGCTCATCCTCTCCCTGAGGGGAAAACTCTGCACACGACAAAGTATTTATTCTTGTATTAGGAGGGGTTTTTTTAAGTATCTGTACATGATGCCACACCTTTATATTATGAAAGGCAACACTGGAAGAGCTTAAAGGGAAGGTTCCAGGATGATCACTAGTTTCTGGAATGTGCTTGCTTTTTAATGGATATCGCTAGAGTAAGAATGTTACTATTAAGTTTGTTATTTAAAAAAAAAAACAAACTACTGAACAACAAAAAACCAAAAAACCCAAAAGAAAACAAAAAAACCCACAACACCAACCCACAAAACAGAGAAGGTTAGCTTTTAAATATTATGTTATACTAACTGTTGTTTATTAGGGTTTATTTTGAGAGCAATTTCAGGTTGTATTGACAAAGTAAAAATAAGATGTTTAGATTTCTGACCTGCCTAAAGAGAAGGCAGGATTTATAAAACTGTATGAAATGACTTGTTGATAGAAAGTAGTTTATAAAGTAGACTAATGATTAGCAATCATTTTCCTCCAGCATTGCACAAGAGCCAAGAATACTTTATCAAAAGCCAAAGTGTTCTAAGTCAGAAAAAATAGAAGATGCTTTATTGTTGGAAAGCCCACTGGTAAGATTACTTTTTACTAGAGCATCGTTGTGCAAAAAACCAAATCATTATGTTTCGGTGAAACATATTTAGAATAGAGTGTTCTTTCCCTGCAAACTATTGTCTTAATGTTTTTATATAGTTAAGTCATTTAAGGTTTGAAATGTGTGCTTACTTATTTTGACAGAACATTTAAAGGTATACTTCTCTGAATTTCTCAATAGGACATTCAAATTCTTTTTTGTGAGCTTTCATGGAAGATTTTAAAAACAGTGCCTTTATGCTTATGCAACTAACTTTAATTCCTTACAACATAAATTCTGTTTAATTTTTTCTTTATTTTTTAATTAGCAAGGGCAATAGGTGGGAGTTTCAGTTTTTACCAGATCTGTTGACAGTAAAAGAAAAAAAAGACAGATAAACCGAAGACTCATTGAAGCTGCCTAACAGCTGTTCAGCTGTTTCTAACTAATAGATTATATAATTTCCCTCCTCCTTGAGTAGTTTTTCTCTCATCCAGTGTCCACAGAGCTTAGGAATATTGGCCCCATCCTTGGGGTGCCTAAAAATTATGCAGCGTGAATACCATTCTTAGCAGTTACTGTTGAGTTACCACTGAATGTCTTATTCTACAATACTTATTATCTCTTCAAGATTGGTATCAGTTAGATCAATAAGCAGTTATACTTCACTTTTGCAAGGCGAGGGATTTTTAAAAGGTGTCTTCTAGAGAAGGCAACTGCCTTGCAAAAAGTGTAACAGATTATTTATGTGATAGTTGGATGACTATTTGGCACAGACATGAGCTTAGACATCCTGATGTGATTAGCAGACAGGTTTCCACTTTTAGTTTTTGAGGAATGTGCATGAACTTTTGTTTTCTTGTTACTGTGTCAAAATGTTATGTATCCTCCTGGTACAAATTTTTTTCTGATAACCTTTTGTTATGTAGGGGGAAATGCTACCAAGTCCATCAGACTATAAATCTTCCCTGATAGTCTTGACAGTGCAGAACTGGCTTCTACGTCTCTCTGCTGATAGTGGAGAAGTACTGGAAAAAATATACCTTGCTGGTTCCTGTTGCAAATTCAGGTATTAAACATTGACTAGGCTTTATGTCATTAACAATCATTAGTATTACACCGGAGAAAGAGAATCATGTTTATTTGAGTACTATCCTATGTCAGACTTCAGGTCTGTTAGTCTAGCACATTACCTGGAGTACTGTTCCTGCATGCTGTTTTCCATAGAAGAATTTCAGCAGCTTAAGTATTATGGATTCAAACGTGGTATCAAGTTCCACAAATGCTACAAAAACTAGGCCACTATTGGCTTTTCTTTGACAATTTTACAGCCTTTAATTTTGCAATAGCTACATACCAGGAAAGGACCTTTAAAAGCTGTAAAACAAACTTCATAAAATGTAAGAAAAATACATTTAAAGTTCAAGCCATTTTTAACTTGCAAGCATTCTTCTCCATAGGGTAGCCAATATACTCTTTAAAGCAAAGCAGTTACTGCTTCTGCTAAACTGCATCTTTTTTTCAGTTCTCAGAAGAAATTGTTTCCTTTAGGCTGAAGGATAAGAAAGCAGTGCGTTGTGAAGGGAAGGAGAAAAATTAAGATAGTGAATGTTCATACTTTCAGAATTATTCTCTCGATCCTGTATGAAGTAAGCCATTCCTAGTTCGGTGGGTTTTGCGTTAATTGCAAACAGCAAACATCTCAGGCACCTCTCCCGAATCAGATACTGAACAGTTTGCCTGGACACAGGAATCTGCCTAGTTATAGTAGATTGTATTTTGTGTGAAATAATGTATTTATTATTAAATTATTTTTAAATTATTAAGCTAGGCCTTTCTTGTCACAAATAGGTATCTGAGCTGGGATACTCCTCAAGAGGTAATGGTTGTAAAGTCAGCTCAGAATAAGCTCCCTGCAGCAGCACGGCAGGTAAGTTTGTTGAAAAACTCTGTCATTCTTAAATTTTTACAAAACAAAAAATTTACAACGACAGGAATGGAGACATTAAGCTTTGTTATTATGGTGGAAGATGAAGGTGTGCTACCATTAATAAATAGTAGTATAATAACTATATTCAGTATTGTTGTTCCTTCCCAGGCAGGTATCCAACAGTCTGTTTTGTTCTATCTTGCTGTATTCCAAGTTTTGCCTCTTTCATTCGTTGGAATGCTAGAAGTAAACAAAAAGGTAAGTTAATGCCTCTATTAATTGTGATCTGTACTGTAGTTGTATGGGAGGCATTACAGCTTGTAAAAGCATAGTGCCCTGGAACATTAATTAGCAGTAATGTTCTTGTGTCTGATAGGGGCATTGGGGGAAAGATTCTTAATTCGAATGATTAGAATAGAAAATACAAATGCATTCTGCTATTGGGTTACTCTTTGACGTGTAGAAGGAAGTGTAGCCTTTACTTATAGCAATCATAAGAATTAGGGAATCCTAAAGTGTCTGTAGACTTCTTTTCACCTCTTTAAAGAAAGATAGATGTGCCTCTGACCAACTCCTACTGATAGTATATTAAGTCTATATGCAGTTCCAAATGTTTCAGACTTGTACTATCATTGATATTGAATGGCAAAATGTAAATATGTGTCTTGCTTTAGCAGTCAAGAGCAAACAACCTTTCTGAGGTCAGTTTGTGACCTGCAAGGAGCAGTGTATATATTAGGAAACCTCAAGTCAGATGGCAAGTTTACTGCTCTGGTGAAAAAATATGTCTATTTTAAGTCAAGAGAGCTCTGGGCACAACTTATACATGGAACAGTACAAACATGCAAACTCTGTCTTCAAAGCTGTATGAGCTACAGTCTCATTTGGGGTCCAGTGTTATTAGTGAGTTTTATCTGGTGCTGGGTTGGGTTGAGGCTGTAGTTGAGATTGGGCTGGCAGGTGAAGGAGTGGGGTTAAACATTTTTCATTTGGGCCCATGAAAGTTTAGGGGCACTGTGTATTGTTCTGTTCAAAATTAGTATTTAGGACTGGAAAAAAACGTGACCAGTATCAAAGGTATTCTCAATCTGGTTAGGAATGGCATGCCAGATTCCTCATGGTCATAGTAGGTGAAACATCTAAAAGAGTATTTTTTCAGTTGGGCTTGTACTGAGTGCTCATCAGAGTAACTGTTACAGGTGGGAATAACATCAGGGCAGAATCTGGGATTTGAGAATACACCCAGCAGAGGAAGCAACCAGGGAATGCAATGCCACTGATACAGATCAATGGAATGTAACTGTTAGATTAGATTTAGGATTAGGGTTACTGTTCAAGACTGCAGAATGCACCTAATGCATCAGCTTTGATGAGGTGGTACACCACAATACATTCTGAGTTCAGACTAGGTAAGGTCTCAAGGATAAAAAGGAGAGTTTAGGGTTGGAAGACTGCTAGAGCTTGTGTCTGGAGGACATTGGGACCTAAGATGACAAATGTATTGAGAAAGAGCCATAAAACTAAATAAAAGGCAAGGTCTCAGGAGTGAATGTATCTTTTCAGACCAAACTGATCACAATCACAACATCATTGACAGTGTTAAGATTTAGGAGCATTACAGCTTTTGGGTTTCTTTTGACAATTGTTTTTAAGGCTGTCTTAACCGTGTTTTAATTGCTTTTTCATATAGTTATTCAGATTAAAGAAATGAAAGCTCTAGGTTTCCAAGCATCTCTATTTAAAAGAAATAAATTAGGAACTTCACATGTTGTTATTCATTAAATATTAAGAATTAGTTTGTTGGGTTTTTCTCAATGGAGATGTGTTAAGCAGTGGCACAAATGAATACTGATTATTTTTAAAAGGGGTAAGTCAGCTTCTCCTGTATATGTCTAATTTGGATTCAGAGAGGATCCTGTATTCTGTGGCAGCTGGATAATGGAGTTTTAGTACAGCTGTACACAGTCATAGAGCCATGATTAGACTAGTATTTTACCCTGGTGATGAAGAAAGAACAGAAGATCTGAAATCAGTACTTTTAGATTGAGCTGTTAGCTTTTCTAACATTCCTGTGGGATGCTGGGTAATATAATCATTCATGTATGATAATAACTGGGTAACATGATACGAAGATATACTGAGAATCAATTAGAGAATGAATCTGCTTTCAGAATATGACTAATCTAACCTCAGGTGTTACTGCACTGCAAAGTATTATAGACACTCAGCAGAAACAGATAAATTACAGAAAACTTCATGAACTAAAACAGTGATCATAGGGTTTGGTCAGAATAAAAAATTTAAAGCAATTGCAAAAATAAGGACATAATGTCAGTATTTTGCATTTCTTCCCTAATACAATATTTTTCTCTTCCTTTTTTCCCAGGTATTTGGTAGTAGTGTGACAGATGTTGCTGTTTCTAATGGAATCCTCATTGTAATGTATAGCATGGGTCTGGTCAGGCTCTATAACTTTCAGGCCATCTTGGAAAAGGTAATGAAATACAAAATTTTTCATACAGTCCATACTATTTTGGGGCAACAAATCATAAATATTCATGTAATGTCACATAGGTACATGGGGAATGTGTCAAAGGATAGAGTTCTTGCCTAAATCTGTTTACAGTTGGAAGATGCGAATGGGTACACTATCAGAAAATTCTACCCACACCAGTTACAGGTGGCAAAACGTAAGAGATACAGGGTCAGACAGGCCCTTCAGCACATACAGAGAGGAGCTATGTAAATGCTAGACCAGGATATGCTCTTCTTTACACACCTAGTCTGTACTTATAGATGAGCGTTAAGGCTAGAAACTGATGGGCATGGAAGATTGTTTGATCTGAAACAGAACTGCAGTGGGAATTTTGAGTTTATCTTCTTCCAGTGGAAAATCAAATGTTAATTAAAAAATAAGACTTCAAGCAGTATCTAACAACATAAAGAATGTGCAGTAATAGAGCAGTAAAACTAAACAGCAAGTAAATACACATCAATAAAGCTAAATTGTTCTGTGTTATTTTAGTTCATGGAACAGCCATTTCATTTGGGACGTGAATTCAACTGGAATGGTCAAGTGGGAGTTGTAGGAAAGTATCCATTTGGTCTTCCATGTAACATTAAAATAACAGGTATTTATGATCTTTGTATTATCTCGCTGGTGGCTTTTATGGATTAATTGTGATTTATTTCGCACTAAGAAAAAAACATTAAAATTACTGTACTCATTGTGCTGTAGCTAGATTTCTGGGTTTACGTAAAAATGTGCTTTGCTTTAATTACAAGAATTAATTACATAAGACTTGTCTAGAAAACTAGTACAGCAACTGATCTATTTGAAAAAGTTCATAAGGAATGCATGAAGTGGAAACACCTTCTTTGCTTCTGAGACACAACTGCTCTTGGGAAAGAGGAAGGGCTAGGACAGCTGTTAGTAACACCCAGAAACAGTATACAGTATGTAAACAAAAGATGTGAGAATGTTTAATCTAACTTTCAGGGGGAATTCAAGGAGACCAAATACAATTTGTCCCAGTTGCATTTTGATAATTCTAAGTTGTCAGAAATGTGCCGGTTTCAATAAAATTCATTCCTGAGGAGAGAACAAATTATCTATTAAAACAATTCTTATGCCTCAAGTCATTAACTTATGAATGTTCTGCTTTATGTAATGACTTTAATTTCTCTGAAACCAATCAATCATTTCTGTTGGTGTGTTTGAGATTAGAATTTGGTGCCAAGAATCTTAATGCATGACTAAAACCTGAGACTTTCTTTGAACCTTTTTTTTTTTACTTTAAAAACACATTCTCACAAGTTTACACTTGACGCACTTCCAAAAAAAAAAAATAGTAGATTTCACCAATACCAAATAATGCATGCTTTTATTTATTTCATTTTCAATGATTCTGTACTAAATGGTTTTTACAGGTGACTGTCCACATAAAAAACATTTTTGATCTTTATGTTCGCAAACAGTGTCAGATAATAACAGGCAAACCAAACCAGATTTACATAAACCTGAGGAAATACACAAAGATAAAATACAGACTTAGCTAGTGAAGGCTTTCAGTTATAATGCAATGTTTTATTCAAACAAAGTGATAGACTGCTATAATTGATGTCTCAGGTTCTGCAAAGGGAAATATCTGCTCATTTTCCACTGTCTCAGTCTGCAAAACCACAATTTAATGTTAGGGGCCCTGTGGAAAACATGCTGTGGGACCTTTAATAGGAAGCCTATACCAGATTTGTTCTCATGTCTTACAGATCATTGTAGTTTTTAGTTTTGAGATTTAAAACCAATGTACTGGAGAAAATGTTTTTGATCTTGAATCATATTCAAGAATTTGTGGTTAGGAAGTTTTAAGCTCATGACAGACATTTGCCATGACTGCTCTTTGCAGATAGTTGCATTCCTGTGGTTTTTGAGCTGTTTTCTTTTAAGAATGAGATGGCCGACTGAGCGTTCAATGTAATGTAATGCTTCAGTGAGCGAGATTTTAAGTTTCAGAGTTCAAGCTTGTATTTACTATAATTTAACTACATGTGATTTTCCCTCGTAGTCCTAGCCTCCCTACAGAAATTGCCTGAAGGAATGGCAGTTATTTCAGTGCTGGTTTTATGGTGTGTTAGGTACCCAAGAGGAAGTGTATAGAGATCAAAACTTACAAGGTACTATGTACCTACCACGTCATTTCCAGCTGTTGACTGGTAAGGAATTTGATCTTGGTCACAGCAGAAGGAATGGAAAGGTATCTATAAATCTTCATTATATCACTTTCTGAAAGGTCCAGAACTTAAAACTGCAGTTTGATTTATTATTAGAGGATACAGTAATTTCCATTAAAAAAAAAAAAACAGAGAGAAAGAAACTTCGCTGAGAATTTTTTTTTACATTTAGAGCAAATACTTGTTAGTGCTGCCAGGAACAACTTTACAGCTTTATGTTTAGATGAGGCTGGAGAATTTTAAGGAAGCGAACAAAGAAGCTCAAGTGGAGATTGAAAACTGGCAATGCTAGGGAAAGGACTTAAAAACAATGAGAACAGGAGGTTCTCTCTTGAGCAACAAGAGCAAGTGACACATAGCAGGAAAGAGGGAGTTGAGGCAGCAGAGTCATACTATCACAGCGGTTTAGGTGGCTATGATCTTCCAAATCTTTGCCAAATAAACATAAAAAGAAAGGCATATTCTATCAGCAGCCTGGTCTGCATAGGACTGATATATTATTGAAATGCATTTAAATCTACCATTTAGTCCGCCTACCAGAATTTTTGAGGGGCCTTGCTATATATGCTTTATTTAAAAAGTCGATAGGGTAAAATGTTAACAAATTTTCTTAGCTCTTTTTTCAATTTCTGACAAATTTTAATATCAGTAAGTCCTCTGCCTATGCCTCTATCTTCAATATTTTGTACATTTTCAGCAGATGCCTCAGTTTTTATAACCTATACTTTGTTATATCTTGCACAGAATCTCCCATTTCCTATGTGTTAGCCCAAGAGGCAACTAGAAGACAGCCAGTTTCCAGCTTAGGAAAGACTTCATTTCCATGGGCAGTGAACTAATTCCTTTCAATCTAAATGGCTAAGTTGTTGGAAACATGAATGAAGGAAAAAGAGAGAAGCACTGTGTAAACAGAATTTCTGATGTCATGTGACATCTTAGCACCATTAGCTAGGATCCGGATAATTACCTAGACTAAGCAGAACAAGGACAAGTCAAAATTTGGATAAGGCCTTCGGGACACAAAAGTCCAGATAAGAACCTCGTTCCCCTCACAGTAATCCAGCTTTGGGGCAGGGGTGGATATATTCTGCCTGTTTAAATGTCCCTTGTAATTGCAGATTTTCTCCACATTTTGTCAATTTTTTTCCCAGCACTTCTCTGTACTGCTAGAAAGAGATGATCTTCAGTCTGAAATTGATTCAGTTACAGCAGCTGTACAAATTGGTTTTATTCAGCTAGTTGGTAGAAGTTGTAAAGCTCCGTGCAATCCATTTTGTTCAAAGATGCTTCTCTCATTCAGTACACAGAAGACTTGTAAGAATGGCGTATTACATCTGCATAATTTATCCCAACTGAACTGAAGGGAAAACTAGATACCTTTTGCCATTAATTACAAAAAAATCCTAGATTTTTATTTATTTTTATGAACTCAGCTACAGATTATATTCATTGTGGTCCACACTATTTTGTTGCGTTACACAAAAGGAGGAGGAGTATTTGAATTTGGGTGTCTTTCTGGGTTTAATTCTGTTGTTTGAGATTGCTGCTGCTATTTCCAGCTATTTATCAGCATTTTTCCCAAGAGAATAGTGACCCTTTTGATATACTCTGATCTCTTCATGTGTACAACCTCTCTCATTCAGATGAGCTGGATTAATTTTAATTGTTTGCTACATCTTTGCTTATCTAGCTTATTTAGAATGATGTCAGTCAAAGGTATCAGAAGAGCAGTTCAGCGTGAAGATCTGAGAAGGCACTAACCTTCCACAGGGAACTGCAGATGTGTGCCTGGATGCTAGGTGAGGTAGCATAGCTGGTGCTAGAAGAAAGATCACAAGCAATGTATTTCCACCAGTCTTCAAAAGTTCTGAAAAATTAACAGCTTTATTGGAATTTAGAATTGTAAGGATCAATAGAATTATGATTGTTCTGCTACTAATGGTATTAACATTACCAAATATTTGCAGATACCCCACCTTTGCTATTTGAAGCATCTTCTCTGGAGAATGCCTTTCAAATTGGAGGTTACCCTTGGCATTATATCATCACACCTAACAAGAAAAAACATAAAGGAGTCTTCCATATTTGTTCTCTGAAAGACAATGCTTTGGTAATATATTCAGATAGCAGCTTCTCTGAAATTAATGTGTATCACGTTTGTCTTCATCTCTTCTTCTGAGTAGTGCTCGAGGTAACAATACCCTTGTTTTCAAGTGTGGTGCTCTCACAGGGATCACCCCACAGTGTTACATCTGCTATCGAGTGCAGTCGTGTAAAATGTTTTTTTCTGAATTAGTACTGCTTCTGATATTTCCTTCATTCCAGTATAATCATAGCATTGTCAGTGCTACACAGCACTGTGTTCTTGGCTTAAGAGTTAAGGCTTAAGCAGAATCTCATTACCTCATTCCTTGCATGGTAACATCTTAATGTACTTCCGACTAGTCAGCCTACCAAATGGCATGACTAAAGAAACATTTTACGTTTTAAGAAATTGCAGAATAAGTTTCCTTAATGTTTGTAGTTTATCCCTGATTTTTACCTTCTTTTTCCATCCCTAGAAATATTTTATTATTCAATTTAATCCAGCATTCCTGATTATTTTTATTTATATACTATTCATCATATATCCTTTTGCGTAGGCTGTCCATCTCAGCTTTATTTTGGATCTGGATTTGACCTGAAGATCATTCAGTAATATAAGCAGCTTCTAGGCCTGTTAGTTCAGGGTTCTTCACTAAAAAACTTCTCATCTCTTTTACTGGCCTGATCAAATCGATGATCCCCCTCTTATCTCTTATTTTCAAAACAGATCTTTTACAACCATAGCTGAAGATCAATTTTGATTCAAAGGGACTTCTACAATCTTTTCTCACTTAGTTTTTTCTATGTGGGTTCATACATTTGGAAATTTGAATGATCAGGATCAGCTAAATTTAACAACAAAAAGCCACTGCCAAAATCCCAAGATTTTGACCAGCTCGCAGCTGAAATCACAAGCTATCCTAGGCTTACACATTCCACAAATATTTGCACAAAAGAGGCTGAGCCTGAGGTTTGAAGCTCAAGTCAAACTTTCTGCTAGTGCTTTTCTCATGTCTTGACACATCCCATGTCTTTGACATTCAAATTGCTGGAATTGTTGAAGTGTTTGCAGAGTGTAGGCTAAATCTTCCTTTTGCTTAGTTTCAGGAGAGGCAGGAGCATGTATAGCTGTGGTACAAGGTCATTGTGTATTGCATATTAAAAAAGTTGAAACTGTTCTGTGGAATATCTTGAGAATTGGAACCGAGTCTTTTTTATTATTATTATTATTGTTCCACTGCCATCCTTTCTGGTCATGATTATGAGCAATACTTAAAAACCTTCAGAGGTATGTGGAGAGGGGCTCGGTATTTTCTATTTAATTAGATCTGTGAAACTTTCAAAATAGTAATATTCTAAGCTTTCCCTTTCTTCTTCAGGCAAAAAATGGCATACAGGATATGAAATGCTGTTCACTGGAACCTGACTGGATATATTTCCATCCAGATATGTCAGGTAGAATAATCCACGTGGGACCAAATTTGATAAAGTACGAGCCTTTTTTTCTCAAATCTTATTTTCATTAGAGGAAAAGTTGCATAACTGCATAAATTCAGTAGTTTGACAATTTGCCAGCCAAAACACTCATCAAGCTCTAGAAACTTTAAAATTTATTATTTTGTCAGAATCAGAAGTTCTGGTAGAAATATTTGCAGATTTCTAAATGATGAATGTGGGCAGGCAACACTAGATTTTGAAATGAAAAATGTTCAAGGACTGCTGTGTTAAAATTTCACTGATAAACATAAATTACAAAAATAATTTATTTCAAGTTCAGTTATTTCTGATGTTTTAATATATCTGATTTTTTAAAATTATAAATATAGAAGTGTTGTAGTAGGTGGATTAGAATACATGACTTATTTTGTAATTTCTGTTTCTTTTGTAGAGTCTTGAAGCTTAAGGAAGTTAAAAATAATACAGATCAAATGGAGATTGCCGAAGATTTTACTATTGTGGCCAGCAGAGAAAACTGTGTGAGTTTAGTGTCTGAGATCACAATGTATGATTTTGAGCAATACACAGGGGTTTTGCCTATGTGAGTAATCACTGTGTTCTATGGGCTTAATTCAAAGTTTATTGAAAGACATTCCATGTCTTCATTGGACTTTAAGCTGTATGAAAAGAAAACAGTAACACTTTCAGGATAGCTTTCTAAAACCTCCAGTCTTTTCTTTAGTTTTCAGCATTCTTTGTGCAGTATAACCATGTATCACTGATATAAAACATACTTAAAAGATGATGACAGATTTCCTTCAAAAGAAGGTGTCACCAAGTGATAATTGTGTGCATCTCTGGTGCTCAGGTTAGTTGATCATACAAATGCTAGAAATGTTTCAAGTCTCTTGTAACTTAGGGGTAAGTCTTCAAAAGACAACAAAGACAATACATTGCTTCCAAAAGTCTGTTTCTTTTCCTGGCCATGCATACCTGTCCCTCCCTTATGACCGGTTTGGCATTCATCTAACCCCTGGTGAGCCAAATCAGTGCACTAAAATAAAACAAAAGCAGAAAAGGTGAGTACTTTTCTGCTTGTTTGGTGACTGAACTCAAGCTGGAACAGAACAGAACTGAATCATCAGTGGGTCAGAAGAGCACAGAGAGGTAGAACCAAGTGCTGAGGGGGTGATTCAAAGCTCCTGGTAGAAATGAGCTCTTAAATCACCTTGGTTGTTTCATGAAGTCTTTTGTGATAGAAAATCACAAAGACAATCTAAATGTCAAAAAAGTTAAAGAGCACACTCATGAAGTAAGTTTTTTGGCAGTGCATGGAACTGTCATTTTGCCTCAGTATATGAAGTTATGTCTGACATAAAAGCAAGTTTTTACAGTTTATTAGTACTGTAAAGTCCCTGGAAATCAGTGATACTAATTTTGAAGCTTCTGCAGAAGAAAAGTTTGTGTATTAAAAATCTACACTAACTCAGGAATAAAACTTCCATTCAATTCAGAAAGGATAAGCTTTGTCATCTAAAGACTTGCCATACTTTTTTCTTTTTTTTTTAGGGTTTGTTTAGAGTTCTAATCCTGTCTGTGCTGTGCCTTTTCCTTTTGACTTCCATTGATACCCCAGTTTTGAATGTTTCTGGTCTTATTGAAGCCCAGTGGGAGCAGCTGTGGTGGTTTAAGATGCTACTTTCCCCATCTTCTGGAAGAAAGAGTTTAAGAAACAAATTGGTGATGACTTAGCTGTCTTAATTCTCATTCCAGCATCTTGGCTCCAGTCACTTCTATTCCAAAAATTATGGTAACTGAAAACCTTTGCCACCTCTACAGGACTGAGAGCCTCTGAATATGAGTAAACATCAGTAATATCTCAACTAAAGCCACTGAGTTCATGAACCCTCATAAAGAAGAGGTAGCAGCACTAGGGCCATGCATAGCTAATGAGCAAAACAATCTGAGAGATTAAAACAAGGTCAGAAAACAAAAGACATGAAAGGGCTACGTTGTCAAATAGATAGGAAGAAACTAAAATGATTCCAAGTCTGGAGCCACTTTTTTCTTTTTCTTCAAAGGTGAGCAATGCTGTTACTGTAACAGCTTCTGGTCGAGTGGTGAAAAAGCGTTTTAACTTGCTGGATGATGACCCAGAACAAGAGGTAACTGACGTAGTGACTAAGAGCAGTTCATGGATTATTTAAGATGTTTAGCTAGCCAGAAGTCATTCTTGTTTCAGGTGCAGTGGCTGTAACCATCAGCTGTGTTAATCTTTTAGTTCTTTATTCTGCTTCTGTGGCTGTCTTTTTCTTCTTAACTCCTAATCATTTCCCCTCTCTGTCTGTCATCTTTTCTCCTTGGTTGACATTTGTGCTTTGGATAGTCTCTCTCTTTTAAGAACTGATCTTATGCCCCATGGTACTGTCTTAAGTCCATGTGACTTCAGTGGCACCAAAATTTAGTTGTTAATGTTATGAACCATTACTCTTCTCTCCATTCAAACAACTCCTTTAAACATATCTTGTAAAGCATTTTATGAAATGAAAGAAACATACTTCTTTTTTCTCTGCTTTAGGTTCCTCTAGTCTTTGATATAGTATCTCTCAACTATATTTTTCTCTCCCAATTGCTTTGATTAGATTGCAAGATAAAGTATTTAAGACTTTTCCTTTAAGTAACTGCTTCTTGAGAGTGAAAACACCACATGCCTTGGTGTTGAGTCTTCAAGACACTATGAAGAATATTTTTTAGCTCTCTATCTAGAGCTGGAGCTGTAATTTACATAAGCACAACAGTTAAAATTCATCAGTTTCTGGCAGTTGTTTCTGTTCTGTTTTCTGAGGAAATAGATTTTACTAAGGTAAAAATACAAGACAGTCCAATATAACCCTTAAGGTCTGCAGTTCATTTCTATCCACTTTTTTTTTTTTTAACATAGTGAAAATTAGAGTCTGCACATTGGTTTTTTTCCTGCTGTTATACTTTATTTGTGATTCCAGATATTTTTCCATTGTGGAAGAAAAAGACTAGCTTGAATTTTAACGAGTATGTTACCAAGTTCATAACAGTGAGATAGAAGCAATTAAGGCAGTTGTCCCAGTCCGGTTTTGAACTCAGGGTAGGTTTGTAGTGATCCCAGGAGTGAGATTAAGACACAAACAAGGTCAGATGCTGCTAATTTGGTTGCTTTATTGAATACACAACAGAGACTGGACCGATAGGAAAGGTAGGAGTTATTAATAGGGAAAACTTAGCAAGTATTCAGGAAAGCATGCAAGAGTCATCACCATGGATCCAGTGGCGTCCCGTAGGTCCGTAGTCCTCGGTTTCTTCGGTGGAGGGTGCACACCATGACTTGTTTCTGTGATCTTTTATGAGGAGTCTCAGGCGGGGTGGGGTGGGGTGGGTCGTTGCTGACTCCGCTTGCTGTAACACATCCCACGCCTCAGGTCTCGCCTTTCACGCGCCCCTTGCATGTTTACTTAGTATGTGTCCTTGGAATTTCAGCAAATAATCTAGTTTCTAACAGATATATGGCTTATACTTAATTTCTTTCAAGGATTTTTGCCTTGTAATTGCTGCAGCTGAAGTTACTCGGCCTGGATGTCTCCAGAGTTGTCAGCCTGATAGGCAGGGGAGTTTCCTGCTATCGCAGCAAGACGGGCAGAGGAATGTCCTGCTATTGGCAAGATAAGCAGCCTTCCTGGGTTGTTATTTTTGCAAGGCCAGCGAGCGGTCCTGAGCAAGCTTTGAGGCAAATGTCTGTTCAGTCAGTCTCTCACAGCAGTTCACAATCTTCACCTTTTGGTCTCAGTTCATCACCGTCACAAACTCTGTGGAGCGAGGGAGAGATCTGAACAGAACATTGAGGTGTTCATGTGAATGGAATTACCCTAATTTACCCATCCCCTCAAAACCAGTAATGTTTTTAAGCTATACTGTCCCAACATGTCTGCTTCAAGAGAGGGCATGGAGTTTAAATATGTCTCTTCTGCCACTTTCAAAGTACTTTTTTCTATTTCCTGTATGATATATGTAAAATACATGTACGTAAGGATTGTTCAGAACATCACTTTCTTCTCTCCTCTCTTAAGAAATTTTGCTGAAATACTTTGGACAACTTGTGTTGGGAAGGGTGCCTGTTGGGTATCAGGCTGGCAAAGTTTTCTTTATCAGACCAGAAGACTTAAGAACTACACTTTTTCCAATTCCACTTTCAACTGAAAGAAAAAGAGCTATGCAATTTAGGTAGAGGGGAATGTGAATTTATGTTTGATTTGTAAACTTGAGGTTTTGTTTTTCTTAAGACATTCAAAATTGTGGACTATGAAGATGAATTGGATTTGTTATCCGCTGTGGCCGTTACTGAAATAGGAGCTGATGGAAGAGCTCATCTTGACTTTCATTGTAATGAACATGGGATGCTACTTAAGAGTATTCCATTACTGGAGTCCTGGGATGTGGTGAGGAGAATTCCTGTCTCTCGTTTATGCTAACACTTCCCCATACCCATTTACCTACCATTTTTGTTCAGATTTGAAGCAAATATATAAATAGTGTTGCCAAATGCTATGGATGAGATTTCTACAAAATAATAATCATAATTCAAAAAATTTAAGTATTCCATCAGACAATAGTTCATTTATCTGAAAACCTCCATGATTTGAAGTTAAGAAATTTTTTTTGTTGGTTGATTTGTTTCTTTTTTTTTGGCTGGGGAAGGGGTCGTCCTGAGGTATTTCTGAAGTATTTATCAACTTGAATACTCACCCTCTCGCAAGTTACATCAGCTTAACTTTACAACTTGTAAATAGTCTCACTAGCTTAACTTGAACTACTCATGCATAGAATTAAGCATGGACTTCACTGTGTGTATATTTGGAGACATGGAATGGGCTGTTCCTACAGTCCAAGTTTAGGTGGACATCCAACTTAGATGATCTGAAATATTCAGCACCTTTGGCACCTCTTTCATCATTGACTGCATGGGCAACTTAGGATGTTAAATCAGATGCTCTTAATTGCACTTAGATTCCTAAAATAGGCATGTGGGAAACCTCTCAAAGTTTTAAAATTCTGTCCTTTTTCTGGAAAAGCAGTCTGTGTGTACCTGCACAAAATTCCTGTCTGATCATGGAGGTCACCAATGTTAAATATTTTTTTTAGCAAGTTGTGGAAATGGAGACTGCAATCAGAATCTTTTTTTTTTTCATTTCAGACTTACAGTCATGAAGTTTACTTTGACAAAGACCTTGTATTACATATAGAACAGAAGCCTAACAGGAGGTTCAGTTGTTACGTTTACCAAATGGTCTGTGATACTGCAAAAGATGATGAATGTTCAAGCCATGAAAAAGCAGAAAG